TCACATGGGATTGAACTGGTATCTTGTGATCTGACCTGTGGAGCACTAACCACTGTGCTATAGACCCACAGGTCAAAAAAATATTAAACTAATATTAAAAGATATTAATTTATAATAAATTATATATATATATTATAACTCACTTATATAAATTTATAGTAAATTTCAGCAATCAATACATTCAATGTCCTCAGTATTAAATTCTTCAACCAATTTCTCTGGTTCAATAGTCCAATCAAATTATTCTGGTTATAACTTATCTTATATACAGATATTATATATTGTGGTTTTGAATCAATCTGGTTTAAAAACTTTAACAACAATAGCAATCTTATCAGATCTTACAAATTAATATCAAACCCAAATCTGATATTTTGATTTCTATATATTATGAATATTGTTATTAAAACTCACAAAAGACATCATTATATTCAAGAGAACATACCTCTCAAGAGTAGATATTATATAATTGATTCTAATAACAATCTCACCAAATATTTTGGCTACCTTCTGGACCTCTCCTTTAACAACTATTGCTCAATAACCTTCTCAAGTTCCAATGCCTCTTTACTCTGAACAATCAATAAATTTTTATCCAATGTCAAGTATTACCTTTGTAACATCATCGAGGAATTAGCAAATTCTTCAACAGAAAATAAAACCACTCTCCAATTAATTAACATCCTGCCTCTTATACTATCTTCCTTTTTTCTATAGGCAATAAGTCAATACAACTTATATTATATTCAACTCTCAAAACAAGACCTAATCATCAATAAGACCAAAGTTACAATATCCAATCCAGGATTTTCAAATGGCAATATCTTGTAAGTCATTTATAACATTATTTAATGGTACTTTCCTTATACTACCATCAAAGTCAAAAGCAATAAAAAAATCATTTGGACACTTTTTATCTTTTCTAGAAAATATGTAAAAATAAGTTTCATTATTCTAACTTCAAAAATTGTACAAATCACAATATAAAAATATATATTCATCATCTTTAACAAGCCTAAATCCAAGCCAAGATATATCAATTTGGTTCTGTGGAATAATTAATTCTTTACTTCACAGAAAACCTCACTATTAATAAAGCAGATCTGAGTAGCTGCTCAAGATGATGCAAAAAAATCTTTGATATATCAGATCTTATATTATTTGCAAAAGTTTATCCATAATTAAAACATTCAGTCAATCCCATAATGCTTTTAAATTTCAAATAATCAACTTCTCCAACAAATTCTTAAAGTGACTTCACAACAATACTTATAGTGATCTCATTGCATTCAGAGTCAAATTGCTTTTAGACACATTTCTAATATGAGAACTTCTTCACCAGTTATATTTTGAACTTTACAAGGACTTATACTGTCCAAGATACAGTTTCTGGACTAAAAATATCTTCCATATCTTTAGCTATTCTTTAGCAAAAAAAGAAGTCAGGCAAATAATAGACTCTATCAATCTCATTCTCCATTCAGATAGTAGCAACAACCCACTATCAAATACATATCAGGTAGAAGAATTTGCATGTAAAATTACAATTGACATTTTCTTTACATCTGATATATATAAATAGATTCAAGCATTTACTGAAGCTCTCATATTTTCCTATAATCATATTTGGAAACCTCGATATAGCATAGCAAATATTGCTCCCACTAGTGATATCAAGTAGGACGAAAATATTAAAAAAAGAAAAAGCAATAATAATAACAATAGCATTAATAATAACAACAATATAAATATTAATAGTATAAATATTCTGTTTAATAACAATAACAATAACAATAATACCAATAATAGAAGAACATAAAAAGATAGTTTACTTTTCAATGACAATATCTCAATCTCAACTTTCGACAGTACTATAATTGATATTCCAATTTTTGTTATAGAAACATTTATTTAAAACAATCTTAATTATTCAAAATATATATATAATCTTATTTTTAACTATCATAATATTATTTTATAAAACTCTGAATAGGTATCTATAGCTATTCGGCATTACTTAATTAGTACACTAGTTTAAAATGTCTTTTTTAGTAGAAGTTAAATGATTACTATAAGCAAGCTAGCATTTAACTTACTGCAATTATATATGAGAAATGTTGTTTCTTTCCATAATATATACTTTGTTATATACAAACAAATAAAGAAATAGTGTTTATCTATATTAAAAAAAAAAAAAAAATTTAAGTATTAAATTGATATTGAAGTAATATTAAAGTGATATTAAAAGTGATATTGATCTTAATTATATAAAATCCATAGAAATTCAAAAGATTTTCTAAATTCATAAGCAAATTATATGATTTAGACATACAATAATCTTGAATAATAATATAATATTTTTAGAATTAATTATTCTGCAACAATAGTAAAAAACATTTAAGTTATATTTTTGCTTTTAATTTAAAATTTGTTTTTATCTTGAATAAAACAGTTAATATTTGTACTCTATAATTTTTGATATTTGATTAGTAAAATATTATTTATTAGGTCAATTTATTAAAATAAAATATTATTTTAAAAATACTTTATGTTACAGATGGTAACAAATAATATTACATTTTAGCTTTGTTGATATAGGCTAGTAAAGTCAAAAACCATAAATAGGTAACCATGTATGACCAAGAAATAATTATATTTATTTCAAAGACTAAGAATCAAAACTTATAGAAAAATTGTATGACTTCCTGAATCGTATCTGTAGTTCCTGTGCGAAGCATTAAACAACATTTTTAGAGAAAACAGTACATTCAACTTGTATAACTGTTAAATGCTTTATTTGAATGTCGTTCTAAATGTCGAAAGCTTTAATTATAAAAATAATTAAATAAAGGATAAAAAATAGAAATTACTTAGGGGTAAACGAATAGGAAAGAATTAGTGAACATGTCAAAAAAGATAGTTCCTACCAGAACCCGTATTATTATTGTCTTCTTTTAAATCGTTATCAGAAGCACTGGTTATGATGGCGTTATTAAAGTTTTTCCATAAACTCGCAACATTTTCAAATTCTCTTCCAATTGCTACCACACTTTCAAGGTTTTTATTGAGAACTGCCATGTTGTTTATAACTTGTTCTATTCCCTAAAGAATGCGAGAACAGAAATGTGATTGAGACAAAATTACGTGATAATGATAAAAAAGAGGTTCATGTATAAAATAAATCACCAGCGCTATGTCATTAATTAAAATTTCCCTTTGTTTTTGAAAAGGGGTCCTTTCGATCGTATCCATGTTATTGCATTAAACGTAAGTTGGATGCAAACGATTCATCATATATATTGGAACGCGTCAAAACCTAAGAGACTTGATTGGTCACTTATTTGCAGATCATATAATAAGGATCTTTTAATTGACTTTTCCAGTTCTAAAACAATGGATAAAGGTACAGTACAGGCACAATTCATAATTGAATATAACATAAACTCAATCTTCAAATTTCAACGCATACATATATATAAATATATATGCAGAACATTTAGACTCTTCATGTTATCGACAGGATGATGGTACCATAAGTGACGATTCGCAATCAGAAGACGTGCACGAGTTACAAAATAGCGATTCTTTATTTGAAGTCAATGACTTGTCTAGTTCCTTTTCTACGCTCGCGGATCCGAGTGAACTCGAAAATCAAAATTCAAATGATAACTATGAAGACGACGACGAAGAATGTTTAGAACCTTTTGGGTATGAGCTATTATCTCAAGACGATGATGTTCTGTCACAAACCGACGAGCTTCAGGTATTTTTATTATTAATACTTTTATTATTATATTGTCACAAGTTGAAGTTTGGTTTCAATTTTGATAAGGATGAAAATCACCTCACTCCAGAAAATTTGCAGATTTACACATCTGAAGTGGAAAGGATACCGGATGGTAATGTCACTGTTAGGTTCAATTTTATTCAATAACGCGTTTTCATTTATTTATTTTACTTATTCAATTCATGTAGATGATCTGGCTGTCATTAATTCAATAATGAAAAACATTCAAATTCCCGATTCGGCGATACCAGGTTAGTTAATAATTATATATATATCTATCTTGATTTCATATTGTGTATACTCACAACTTTCATTTTCACAATAGAATGGGCCAAAGTAATTCCCGAAGAAGCTTGGTTACCTGTGATTATAAATGGTAACGAAATTAAAAAATTTTCCGATTCTTAATTTGTTAAGGGTTATATGGAAGTATTTAGGTCATCAAATCAACAAATTTTAAATTAACATAATATATAATAAAAATAGTCTTAATTTTAAATAAAACAATAAATACAAATAGATGAATAGAATTTATAACGTATATTAATTTTTTAAATAAGAAAGACGGTGATGATTTGAAATCTTTATTACCTTAATATTTTAATTCTATTTTTTTAAAAATTCATCATTAACAAAAATACATTGTATAAAGTAGTTATGTTTATCGGTTTATTCTCTCTATATATTCCCATTCTAGCTCTTCTTTTTTTTTGCACTTAACAATACCTTCAGACATTCATTCCCCCAAAAAACTTTCGGCATCTTTGCTACTTCCTTTGCTAAAGCTTCTGTAAAGATCCAATGAAGTTTCGTACAAATGTTTATCTTTCTCTGGATCAAATGTGGTGGCGATCGATGGATCCTCCCTGCGAATTGAGATAACAATTAGTTTCCAGAAACTAGCACCTGTGATCTTACACATCAACCAGCTTACTTGAAGCTTAATTTTTCATCAAATTGAGAAAGGGAAATTTGCGACGGACGCTTCAAAACACCACCACCAATGGGTGTATGAGAGGTCATTGGTGATCCAGGATGTTCATTTGTAAATGGATCGTAGCCCATGAATGAAGTCTGTCCGTGTAATTTTGATGGTCTCGGTGTCGGTTTTTGATCAGGGGAAGGTGTTCGATCAAGATGCAATGCCAACGTTTTTTTTACAGGTGTCGTTTGCGCCAAGATCGAATGCGGCTGCGAAGAACTGGGAGATCGATTTACCTTGCTGGCGTCTTCTCGATAAGACTTTTAATAAACGATTGATTTCGATTAACTCAAGTCAATTAGCGAGAATTCGATTTTTTCATTATTCAAATAAATATTACTGTGAGTAAATCATGATCTCCGTAGGTCCGATCGGTCTCGACTACATAGGCGTTGTAAGTTGTTTGTTGACCACGGTTTCTTCTTTGACCTGAGAAAGTAAGATCCATATAAATTTTGAGGTTCTGTAACATAGCTGCGGGTATGTAAATCCTGAACCTTTTGCTGTCCCATCAATTTTGAAAGACAAGGGATAAGGGTTAGGTATGTTTCCTACTCCTAATGCCCAAGGCGAATTTGGCGGAGTAGATACGCTCGCAGCATTTTTATATCTTGAATAGATAGATTCTTCGGCAGACATTTTTTCTTTTTTTTTTTTGGTAACGCGTAGGAGTAAATGACACACGTGTGTGCACCTGTGGGGGATCAAACAGCGCACACGTACTTGCGTACCCAAAAGCAAGTGATCTGCTGGTGTTTTGGGGTACAGTTATCGGTCATTGTATAAAATCAATCTTATCACACCGCCTTCCGAAATCTATGTCAATGATAACAAATTTAACAAATTGCAGATGGGAGGAATTGACACAAATACTCGCGGGAATCTTATATCCGATGGGATTTGATTTAGTCAAGGCATTTCCTGCTGAGAGGTTCGCAGAAATATCTATTCAAAATTGATACTAGTTGTGCAGGCAGAACGTTATAACGTATCTCATTCTAGCTTTCCTTGATCAGGTACAACTCCAACATACCATCCACGAGTACATTGGTTCCACTACCCATCACAAATTTTCGAGGTTCTACTTCTGTACAGCATAACCGTTCATCCACCTTATCAGTAATAATAGGTAACACTAGACACCTTTGGTCGATTTTCATAGATTATTATGCAAAGAATATAAGAGAAAACATTGGCGATAATCAAGAAAATGCATCCGAAGAAAGGGACACTTATGAACAAAGTAACCCGTTAGATTGGTACACTCGAATTAGCATCGAATCAGCAGTGAAACGAGCCGTTTCAAAGTTTTCCAAGAATGCTTCTAATTTGGAATATGAAATTCGGTACGTCTTCGACCTGAGTGAAGATAAATTCGTGGCATTCCAACAGCTGGCCCAGGATGCAGGATTAGCTTACTATAATAGGATTTGTTATTTGAATGTTCATCCGGAATATGGTCCGTGGATCGGATTAAGGGCCGTCGGTAAGCATGGTTACTCTTTTTGACATTACCATCTCATAAATAATTAAATCATATTCACGATAGTAACATTCGATATCGATGGGCCACCTAAACTATACCCCACACCCGGAAATCCATATCCAAAAGGAGACCAATTGTTAAAAACCAAAATGGAAGAGGTTTTGAAAAATGATAATGACAGTCAATTTTCAAGCACAAGCGTCACGAATGTCGACAAAGAATCTGTTGCCAAGACTAATTTTGACAAGCAAGTTATCGCTAATATTCGTAGAGACTGGTACAAGTGGGTTGAGTTGCGTGATATCGCTGGAGGATTCATGAGTGACGAGATGAAATTGAAATATAGATATTCTATAGAACAATTGGAATATCACTATACAAAGAACTTGAAACTATTGAGAAAATAAATTTATTTGTGACCGGTTCCAAAAATTCGGTTTTTTACGAGTAAAATTAAATATTCCAAATCGGGTCCGTATATAATGATCTAAACCAGAAAAGCACTGTATGCTATAGTACTATGGTCAATTTATAACCGCGTTAATACATTATAAATACTACCCGCAAAAATCCAACCATCCAACTTTTACTTAAATACTTTATAGCATACATATACAAAGACATGTTTCGCGCAACTAGTGTCTTTTTTCTTATCGCTTGTTTCGTTTTCGGCATTCATGCGGCCAACATTACGATTCAAGTAGGGCAAGGTGGTTTGAAGTTTGTCCCCCAAAACATCACCGTCAATACTGGTGACACTGTACGTATTCATTCACCCATCCAATTACTTTCGTCTTTAAATAATAAGAGAAATTGAAGAACTTCATTGCATTATGTATAGTTGATATTCAATTGGGCTAACGGTGGACCACATAGTGTAGTACGATCCGATGGCCCTGCCAGTAACTGTGTTAAATCACGTATGTCACATACTAACGTTCTCTTGTACAGTATATCTTCGTAACCTATCTTTTCTTAACTTTTTTCCTTTCTTCCATACAGTCCGTGCTGGTGCTTTTAATAGCGGTCAAATGATCATTGGAACCTTCGTTTATGACGTCACTGAAACCTCCGGCAACATATTTTATTTCTGCGATGTCCCCAGCCATTGCGAAGAAGGGGGCATGTGGGGCGTAATTACCGTTGGAGGTTCATCCGGTAATTCCTCGTCAACAGGTGCAACTTCAAATAAATCATCTGCCTCTAGTACTTCAACAACAATTGTTACTCTGTTAGTGTTTATTTCAAGCACGATCATAGCTTCTTTCTTAGCATAATAGAACGTTTCGAAATTAGATAATTCTTTTTAAAGGTGGTTACGATGGGCATGAAATGATTTGCAAATTAAAAGTCACATGATTCTGAGTCAAGAATATATTCTAGATTTTTAAAAGTAATAAAAATAATTCTCAACTTTTTTACTTTTCATAACATAAACAAGGTCCGACCGTCAGTACTTCATCGACAAGTACAGGTGGTGTTCATTCAACATCTGAACCTACTTCTTCTGCTCCTACCCAATTGGTGACTATAAGTGCCTCTCTGTTAATATTGCTATCAAGTGTGACTATGGTTGCTTTCTTGATGCCTTCACTTACATTTGTATAAAAAAAACCAGACTTTGTTGGGTCAGGGTGGGTTATTAATAAATATCTTTTGCTTATTGGGTTCTCATTTATGTACCACTTCGGGTTAATGTCAATCTCAATAAAATTTTTTTGTCGTTTTCGTTTAGATCGAATAAGATATACCACAACGTGGCACCCTCAAGCAAATACATCTTGAGATACAGTATATTAATTGCATTTGAGTGATCAATGTGATTCGATACCTTTGATGGAGAAGTGTGAATCAATTTATTTGTTAAATTCACGAATAAAAATAACGCATTTTATTTAAGATCTTTCTATCACGCGACATTATAATTAATTAATCTAATTTCGGGCTATCAATGATTAACACACGAGTCAAAAACTTAGAAAACGTGATCGCCGAATTGATCTAGTAAAAGTGGTATAATAGTATTTATGGTATTTTATTATTTCTAAGGATGTCTTATCAAAATCGATAGTTTCTAATTATCGTAATACTTTGAGTTCTGCTTCTTCAATACACACATTTAAAAAATGAAACAAAGTAGACTAAAATTTGATTATATTATATACAAGGGGTAATGGACATTATAGCTTATTTTGCTGATCATTGCCGAAAATATTAGCTTATATTGATACAAAAAAAAAAATTAATAAAGAAATCAAAAAATATTAGTTTTCTTTCTTATAAAACGAATAATCAGATAATTTATCTTAATAAAAATAAAAATAATAATTTTTAAATTTAAATAAACAATACATTATTGTTACAAATAATACTTATTAAAAATCTTTAAGTATAAAATAAAAATTATATAATTAACAAATATATGTATACTTATTTATAAACAATAAAAGTTGATTAAATATATGTATATATAATATTTTACTAGAAAATGAAAAATCATTACAGTTTAAAACAAAAAATTTCAAAAAAACTCTTTCCTAATTATCCAGATTTGCCTAAAATCCACAGTAATCAGCCAGGAGTCTATTCAAAGGTCTTACCTGCCATGGCAACACACAATAGCAACACTTCCAGAAGCAAGTTCCTGTCCTCCTCCATCCAACAATAGCCCCTAATGCCCCAAAACCAACAGAAACTCAAGCAAAAATAGTAGCCAACAACACCCAAAGCAGGCAATAGCCAGTTACCCAGCTGAATAGTTACCACAGAGAAAGGGATAGATGCCTTCTTTGACTGGGTGGCAGATATCTATATGGACACAGAAGAGATATAGCAGACAATAATCCTGCCTACTTTTGGAGACTCTAACAAGGATCCAATACTAACAGACCTAAAAAACGAGGCAGAGGATGTCCCGCCTATCCAGTATCAACTATTCAAGCCGGCCAGGCACCCCTATAGGCCACCTACAGACTGGCGCACCCAGTACAGCCACTTCCATTTCAAAACGACCATTTAGGCAAAAAGCTTGATTGGCTCCATGGAGGAGAAACTCAATGTAATCAAAGAAACAGTCTCTCAACTTGACTCCTATATAGGTACCTATGTGGCACAGCAACAGGGGGCAAAATTGATTATCGCTTTATTTGCCAATCAAAAAAATACTCAAAAAGCATGCAAATTGCCAATCCAAAGAAATAACGATTAACACATGGCCATTCTAGCCAATCTTGACCTAAAAAAGGCCAAAAACAAGTCAATCCGTATCTGGAACATACCCCTTGATACCAATAAACAAGAAATCAAGCAAAACTTACTCAATTCAGATAAGTTAAAAGTCTTAGAATGACTACTGCAGGCATGTGGCAATGTGCACTAGTCGAATTTGTAGAACAAGAAGATTATAACAAAATTTGTACAAGATGAAGCATTCTATTTAAGAAAGAATTCCTGAGAATCTATCCTCTTTTGAAAACATTTGAGATCAAACAATCATGAGACAAATATACTTTGAGGCTTACCAATCTCCCCTTGGGAACAACAGGATATAACCTACATAATATCATCAGTATCACCAAGGCAGCATCCTGCCATATTTCTTAAAATCGAAATTATACAAAAAAATGGCTCACCTTCTTCAGCTTTACTTCAGCAGAAGCAAAGGAACAAGCCAAGAATCAGAAAGTACATCTGAGTGAAACACCCCTCTACTGGCATAAAGTAAACAAGAAACTTTGTGCAATCTGCAGTGCAGCAGATCACCTGGTGGCAAATTGCACAATCAAAGCAAAATGTCAGGAGAAACAACAAATGCTTAAAGAGAAAGTAAAAATATACAACTCACTTTATCAAAAATTTAAACCAGTAGGAATAGCAAATATTAGGAGAATTGCATCAAAACAAACTTTCAAACCAGCCAACCAGAACCGTCTTAGAGCCTGGGAGCAGTTCAACAAAACATTTAATAAAGGAACATTTGCCCAAATCACCGGATGTGCCTCCAGCAAAGGACCACACCTGGCAGCAAATAACCCAGTAGCAATGATCAATCTTCAATCATCCCTGACTAAAGTTCTCAAAGCTATACAGACAATAGGAGCAGAACTCAAAGACATCAAGGAAACCATCAATGACCTCAATAATAGAGTCAATAACTTGGAGGAGTTTTGCATACTTTTATACAATTGACAATGAGAAATAAATAGAAGCAGCCATCGAAACAGGCAAAGAGTACTTGGATCAAAATTTACCATACACAACCATATCCGAGCCAAGGGAATTCAACTACCAGTGTAAAAGACAAGCAACAAGCCCGCAGTAGATATACTTAATATCAGAGAACAACAAATCAATCTCAACATATGTATGGCAAACATAGATAACACTTTCCAAAGTGTAGTGGGTACCCTCAATCAGATTATGATATCACCACAAATACACCCCAACAACCTGCCACATATGATGAACAATAAGAGAAATATGGCAGAAGTTTTCCCAAACACATTATCCTTAACAAATACAATCAATATAACAAATACCAGTCACAACACCACATCTGTGCAACCATTTACAACCACATGAAAAATACTCACATATAACATAAGAGGCATCAACGATCCTATCAAACGTTAAACCTTCTTTACCTATTGCATCCAAAGAGATATTGATATAGCAACACTTATTGAAACACAAGTATAAAATGACAACCACAAATTCTAGAAACACCTCAACTATAATATAATCTGGAGCAACAACAACAAAGGAGCTGGCATCACACTAATGATCAAGAAAGACATAGGCAAGCACATAGGCAAAACAAAAGAATACCTGGGCAGAGAAATAAGTATCGATCTTCAATTCAAGGGGAAAAGACATATTGAAACACTAGGAGTCTACATATTAGCAACAGATGGCCAGGAAAAAAAAGAAGTAAACAAATAAATAGAAGAAGAAATCCTTATTAGACACAGAAGAAATTGGAACACAATCATCATGGGAGACTTTAACTCAGTTATAAATCCCCAGATAGACCACAAGTCAGCAACTAACAAAAAATACAGATCATAACAACCCATCTCAACAACCCTGCAGGTATTACAAAATTTCAATTATACAGACTGTTACAGAGTACTTAACCCTATCACTTCAGGCTTCACTTGGCAAAACTCTAGAGGCACGATCTCAAGGTTGGACTATATTTGGATTTTCAATCATAACAACTGATACTCCACTGAGGTAAAGATCAGCTCTGCAACCATGGTAATCAACAGCGATCACACAATTATTCTAGCAACGATTGCTCTCCCTAATACTTTCACACCTCTCAAAAACTATCCAAAAAATCAACAGAAACCAAATACTCCACAATTGGCACAACAGCAGAACAATGGAAAAAATTTCAAGAAGAATTATAACTTATTCTCCAGCAACAAGAAAATCAAACAGACTTGAAAAACAAATCATCCAATAAACTCTGAAACCTCACGTAGGAGGCGATCAACAAAACAAGATCGAAACATATCTCCAAAATCAAAACTAAAAGAAAAGAGATAACAAAGATTCACAAAACAACATCACCATAAGAGAAAAAGGTAATAGAAATTAGAAAGCTATATAGCAAAGGCAAACAATATTTCAAACACAACGTCTGAACAACAAACATAATTACAAGCATCTGCAAGTCCATTGATAGAATTAACCAAAAGACACTAACAATCCATGAATCTTTCTGGCAAGAACCAAACCATCATGCACCTATAGTCCACAGTTGGTTGGAAGAGATCAAAAACCTATGGAGAACGGCTTACAAAAGTCTTACAACATTAACAAACAAAAGAATTCAGGAGAAAATTCAAAAATACATAGAGGACAGATTTCTTTACCTATTTATAAACAAGAAAAAAATGATCAGATCCATTCTCAACCAAGAAAATAACAATATATCATTCAATAAAATATTGATCCAGGGTGATCCTATTTCAGTAATTATAGAACCAACTGAAATTAAAAAAGAGGTGGCGAAACACTTTCAGCAACCGCTCAACCAAACACCACTTCTAGAAGAAAATTGAAATCACTGGAAACAAGAGTTCTTTCCCAAAACAGAAATCACAGAGAAATGGTATAAAAAATGTACTCACAAAATATCAGATGCAGAAGTACAAGAAACAATAAAGAAATCTAAGGCAGAATCAGCCCCAGGAAAATCACAGATAAACTATACAACACTCA